TGCATTCTGGGTGAACACATTTTTAAACGCATATGGTCGTTGCTAAAATAACATGAGCAAATATGTTTCCTAAACGTTTGCATGGAACAGGAGATGAACGTGTTAGTAAAACGTATTATTACAAGTGATGTTTTATCGCAAAACCCCGTGTCTTCTCACTAGGTGGCGCGCCGTCACTGTCAATCTCCCAGCATGCACCACAGCGTGTTGCCCCATCTGACGTCAATCCACGTGCTAAGTAGCCGAGTTTATTTGAGGTTACACTGCATACTAGCTGTGTTATCCTAGGTAAAGTCTATAATATGCTTGTTCAAATGCGATTTTATGCCGAGACCGACAAGGGAGTGATGGCCATCTTTTGTTTAAAAAAATAAGAAAAAAATCGAAGCGATCTCTTGTCAAATATGGAATTCCGAGGTAAAACAAAAGACAAATAACAAAACAATGTACGATGTGTCACATTGATAATTTTTGTAAAATATGTTTATAAATTGATATTTTTTTTAATGTGGGACAGTTAATACTCATATACTAGAATACCAGAGCATTGCTATTAAGTTTTAAATAAATTTTCTTTTGTCGAAGTAGGAAGATATGCCATGGAGTGGTTCGTTTAAGTTTCGAAGTTCAATAAACATTGATAGGTGTTTTATATTGTATTTAAGAGTTTAGACTTAAGTTTTAAGTATATCGTGTGATGTATACGTATGTGATTAAATATTAGGTGAGGTTTATATTACTGCATCAAATTGTCTTGCTGTACATCGAATACGCGTGTGGTTACCCGTGCACCGAAATCCTTGCAACACACTTCTTGGTACACACCAAATACGCGTGTGGTTACCCGTGCACCGAAATCATTGCAACACACTTCTTGGTACACACCAAATACGCGTGTGGTTACCCGTGCACCGAAATCATTGCAACACACTTCTTGGTACACACCAAATACGTGTGTGTTAACCCGTGCACCGAAATCATTGCAACACACTTCTTGGTACACACCAAATACGCGTGTGGTTACCCGTGCACCGAAATCCTTGCAGCACACTGTCTTGGTACACACCAAATACGCGTGTGGTTACCCGTGCACCGAAATCCTTGCAACACTCTGTCTTGGTACACACCGAATACGTGTGTGGTTACCCGTGTACCGATGCAGTGCTTTTGTAACATCGCAATATTATCTTATGTGTTCAAATCTCATGTTTTACCGACTAAACTGTATTGAAAATTAGATTGAGAAACCAGATATTCTATACACAATACAATATGATTCGTTGAATCAAGCGTTCAATTGACTAATACCAGATCCTGATGACAGGCGTGCGCAATATCATGTAACGATAACCGCGCTCCGGATATCGCGATGTGTCAAAAACGTCTAAACAATGTGAGGACTGGAGGGACCTAGCTACAGATTAAGGTCTATCGTGTGCATGGGTGGTCTGCTGTGGACCAGACAGAAGTCACACGGTGGAATTGAACAAACGCTAAACAGTAATTTTAACCCCGCTAATATGCCATATCTACAGACGAGTTTTATTTTGAAATTTTTTACATTTTCACTTAATTGCATTTAGCAGGTAGTCAAATTTTCATAAAGAAATTCATTTGAAATCTTGAAAAATGTGTACATGTATTACACATTTTCTTTTCATTATTAAAAAAAACCCACTGAACTTGAATGTGTCATAAAGTTAGTTGTAAGGACGGCAAGGCTGAGTGATCGTATATAGATAAATTTCGGTATGACGTAAGATATCCGTCATTTACACCCGAATTGTACGAGAAATCACGCTATCTCCGCACTGTTTGCTTTTACATTAATCACTGTCTAGGATGATTGCTGCTGAGTAAATCCGGTTGAGGGTTCTGAGGTGTCGTACGGTACTTTACTCACTTACACGTCTATCTAACAAACAATACCAATGAATAGTCATTTTGTCGCTCCATTTTCAATTCATGACGAAATGTCTTTGTCCATATATATATATCACATCCGATCTCTGACACGCGAGGTCAACAAAAACGTTCTAGGGTTATACAAATATTACTCTGGTGTTATATACTCGAAAATATTACATGAGTGAATTAGCTGGATAACAGGCCTTACGATATATTTATAATTTTGTGTTTTTAATTTTTATTTCTATTAATTTTGTCGTAAGCTTGATGTATTTCATCTTGTTGCATATTTTCTCACTGGTGACTAATGTTTTGGATGGACCAGGCATTTTAAAACATAGAAAAGTATTTTTAAAAAAGTAGTATAAGTTATCATAGGCTCCCGTCCCCGTGACTCTCATAGGCTCGGTTACTCATGTTGCTTTTCTACTCAACACCCTGGGTTACGTTGAAAGCAGCGAGTTATTAGCACTATGGAGTTAGTTTTCCTTCTTTTCATAATTATTCATATGTATGAATGAGATTGATATCATTCGTCATCGTAAAGAACAGCATTAAAAACAAGAGCGATAACAACTATTCACAGTGTGATAGGGAAATGGAAAGTTGGACGAGACCTCCGGAAACTAACAACTGAACGACTGGGTGGGAAAAAAATTACCACATATTTAACCTTTTGCTTTATTAACCAATCGAAACGCGTGATTTGCGGTTAACACGAAAGGTAATTAAACAACAATGTCTACCTTATACAGAAATAAAGGAAATGTCAGGGTAAAGCTCCCGTGATCGAACTTCATTAATTTTAGTACGTTCCTATATCATATTACGTAAGGGCACCTGTTCTGCTATGTATATACCTGGCTGGCACTTTCTCCCGTGGTGACATTTTGAATTAGTATCTGTTGGGTCACAGAGTAAAATATTTTAATGACTTCAATTTGTCACCGTTAATGAGTGATAAACAGGGCTATGTAACGCTATAAGACACTCGGTGGGGAAGCAACATAAACATTGGGGGCGTGTCTGTTTGTGAACCCATTCCGAGGTAGCAGATTATTTCTGTCGAGAGTGACTTATCCCGATTTTGGTAACTCGTGGCATTTAGCGGAAAATATTATCATCATACTTGTTCTGACGAAAGCGTCAGCAGGTTCACTACAGACCGAAATGTGTAACAAATTCTCGGGGATTATTGTTATTATTAAAAATATGATCATCACGTGTCTTGATATGAAGTGATAAATGCTTCTTGATTTTACTTGTACATAGACATCCGGAGGATAATACTTATCTCTGTTTGTCTCCCGATTTGAACCTGTTTCAACTATGCTATGTGCTTGTGAAACATATTCGCTTCATTATCGAACCAATATGAAAATCAGACATAGAGACTCTTTTTAATGTTATAAAAAATTGTATTTATACCTGTTCCCCACATCACCGATCCTAAAACCAAAACGGACATGGTATGATTTATTCCGGATTTTTCGCCAATTTGGAAATTAACAAATGTCTTCCTCTTGAATAAACTGATTTATATGAATATAAAGGAAACAATGCGACATTTCCTGAATGAGGTATATAGGTGTTGTCCGTGTAGACACACCTATAGTGATAAATACATTGTAACACACCACTTCGTCTCGTGTGAATAATCACACCGCACAAAACGAATGCGTCTGTTGTTCTCCGGAATTTAAAAGTAAAATTACCACCCACCTTTTTGTGATTTTTACAATTCTCTAAATATGAGGTAAACATATGATTCTTTTATCAACTGGTCCTTCGATTGGAGCTTGAGTGAGTTTGTCCAGTGATATTCATAAAAAAAATCCTTGTTATAGGTAATAAGTCCTGTCTAAACGCGAGAACGAGAAGCAGATTGAAGCATAAAGACAATTGATAAAGAATAAACATTATTTTGGTTGCATCACGTATGTTACTGAGCAAATTGTCGAGTGTAACTTTAATTTACAGCCAACCAGAGCGTCACAAACTTCCGAAGCACGTGTTGATCAGAAATATTTGATCGAATCTAGATAAATACGACAGAAAATTTAATTTCAAATCCGTTTGTAGCTATATTTGTTTGTATCCAAAAGCAAAAAAAAATGTGAACTTTGCAGGGGTGATATTTCAATCACATTTACATTTCTGAAATATTTTCCTAACCGATCACGGTAATATTAAAAGTTAGAACCGTTTGTTTTTTACATTCTCCAATAGAGCTGGCTTGCTATCACTATCATCAGACCATAGTTTCAAAAGTCGTTTGAAAGTTCAGATTATTTGCTAAAAAGCTATTTTATTCATATGTGCTGTGCTGACTTTTCCATGGGTGAATTCAGTGCAGCCATACCAGCAATAACATGGTGATCTAGCCCAGACTAATTAAAAATAGGACTAAGAAAACACAAAAACGAGTATACATTTTGTCTTTTTTGATTGAGTGTATGGATTTAATCATTTTCTCGTTTTCTGTGGAGGCTGTGCTCACCGGTAGATGACAAACTAAACCAGGCTTCAGACAGCTGTTCAGCGTAATATATCATACATTCGACTTTGTATCCGAAAAAAAAAAAAAAATAAAACTTCTCCCGTTTTAACCATATCTTAAGTATGTTTTAGCGTGGCAACCAGCAGAAATTTACCTGTTAAACAAAGATTAATTGTTGTTTTTTTTTTTAAAGAATTATGTCATTTTATAATTTAAAAACGGGTCCAAGTTCCTCCGCCGCTTAAGTAATGAAACACGTAAGGTCACGCAATTGACACGCCGTGTAATTAAACACTAAAATGTTGTGTTAAGTCTTATTTAACATGGAATACAATACTTGCTAGCTTGTTGTTTTATACGGGCGATGGTTTATGTCGTGTTCGGTTGATTTAAAACATTTCATGTATGGTACACATTGTTTCAAAAATACAAAAAGTAAATTTTATTGTTTTACAAAAACATATTTGTGATACTCTTCCAAACCTACTTAAGGCTTTACCGTATGTTTGTTTTCACTTCTAGTGTTTTTACATGTAACCTCAACCAATTATGTAAAATGTTTAAATACCTGATTCAACAGATCAATACTCACCAATAACGATTAAGCAGACACACGTTTAGCTAAACAACATATCTGTGAAGATCCAATCGTCTGGTTTTCGATATCTACAACATAAAGGAAACATTTCATGTCAAAAACGAATTTAAATCGAACTTCGGTTATTGTCTCAGTGGAGTTATCTCCCTTCTTACGATCATGGACTCTAACTTTTGAAGTTCGGACATTAAAGTATTTAAAAAAAGAATAGAAGGTCTTATAACAAAATCAGGCGAATATCTTCCACTGCTTTTAATGTAAGAACTTCTTTTCTAATAATATTACAATCTGAAGAAATATGTTCCGAAAAAAATGTATTTTCCAGTTTTTCTTTGAATGTGACTGCCGATGATTTGATCAGTACTACCAGCAACATACCGACAACTTTTAAACGAAAATAAAAACATAATAGACCATATTATTTTTTTCTCTGCCAATGGTGCGTTATAATGAAAATTATTCCAATTGAACCTTTTTTTGAATAAATAAATAAATGTTTAAATGCATTATAAATCAGAATGAGAAGTATATTTTCAGAAGAAATAACTATTGATCTATTCTGGTCTGTTTTAAATATACACCATACAGTAAACCAAAGGTTTATACATGATGGTTGTTGGATCATTTAGTTAACGATAATATTCTGTACTGGCCGGAATAGATCGATCTAGACAGCGGCAAATTTCCAAGCCTTTTCTGACAGAAATATGATAATATGTGTCTCCGTTGTTTATATTTCTTTCCGAAGACTGATAGAAAAATAATCATGAATTTTATCAAGACTTTATCTGACTTGCTACACAATGTATTTAAATGGTCGGAGAATCTCGATTTTCCTCTTTACAAATGAACGAAGACGTTGACATGTTAATTTTGACAGACTTAGATTTCCAAGTCCGTGGTAGATCTTCATGTATGATAAATAACTGAAATATCAAATATTAAATGAGTCAAGCTACACAATTAAAACATATTTATTATCATTCTGTCCAGTACAGCGGAGGTCAGGGTTTATAGTATGTGGACAGGAAAACAACACCAGTTTATTATATATGTAGATAGTTATGTACTTTTGTGTCGTACTTTCTATTTCTAATGACCGCACCAGTAATGTAATATTTTGAATGTTTTAATTCCATAATACAAGACGATTCCTACACAGATATTCATCAGAATCGGGAAAAAGTCATAATTCATCTTGTTTATTTGCCGCCAAATATTTAAGAGTGTGTGTGTGTGTGTGTGTGTGTGTGTGAGAGAGAGTGAGGGGGTGAGGGAGTGCAAATTCCGGAATATTTCCGAGGATAATCCGAAAGGAAAATCCCACGCACGTGACTTGAGTGCGAAGGCGACCAGGACGCACGTGTGTTAATTATCGGCTCTGTCAGAGTTGGAATTCACTACGGTATGTTGACAAATTACACAGCTATATACAGTGTACAGTATGTACGTACAGTTATCGGTACTGCAGTTATCAGGTGTTGGTCACAAATTTGTTTTCTTTATATGGATGTTACATAGTTATCACAAACTCCGATATAAATGAGGATGATGTCACGACTAGAAGTTTATCAGTATTATCTTTAACTGTTGAAATAAATGTGGAGTTTGTATAGAAGAAAATTAAGTAAAGTGGTGATTTTGACCAACATCGTGTCCCGTTTAATTCCTCTGATCACTATTTTTCCCAATTGTGACCTTGACCTTCGGGTCTGGAGTCTAAATCAGATCGGAAATTAATTGAAAGTTATTAAAAGGTATTAAACGTCAAATCTATAAGCAGTCATAAAACTGTTATATAAGGAGCTTAATAGAATAATAACAAGTACTTGTTGGTTCAGACAGACTGACAGACACAGACAGACAGTCAGATGGACGGACACAGACAGACGGACATACACAGACATACAGAGACAGAGACAGACACAGACAGACAGACAGACAGACAGACAGCCTGACAGACACAGACAGACAGTCAGATGGACAGACACAGACAGACGGACATACACAGGCATACAGAGACAGACACAGACAGACAAACAGACATGGACAGACGGACAGACACACATGCAATTCTAATACAAATGAACAGATCTACGTTTAGAACATGATACAATTGAACTCCATTAACAATAACAGTGTTAGGAAAACGTTTTATAGTAGTTAATACACTACACAAATCCCTGGCTAGCTCTACTTCTAAAAGGACATGTGAAGTATCTCTTGTCACCTTTTTCCTTTCAACAACTGTTTCTCAATAACCAACAGGCCTAGTGTCATGATATTTGGACAGGACCAAGCTGGGGTGATGGGCTGTCATAGTGGTTCCTATGAGATTCTTGTGTAAAACATTGTATGACTTAATGTTCAAGTGACTTCTGAACAAGAACCAATAGGCCCTGGGTCTCAGTATTTGTCTAGAAGCATGCTTAAGGAATTTGCCATTGATTTGGTGGTATTGACTTTTATTACCAAAAACTTTCCTTGTTTAGATAAAGTACAGGTGAATGATACGCAGACACATTGTGCTTCATGTTTTACAAACTTTGTTTATGGTAACATCTGATAGTTTAAAATTTCATTTTTTCCTCATTGTGGTTTAGGCCAAACAAAAAATATACATACATGTCCTGTAACATGTTGAGAAAATCTAGGATAGGTAGAGATACATGTAGACAACAACTTTAAATTTATTTCAACAAATACTTTTATAGAGTTTACATAGTGCTTATATAGGAGAGAGATCTTAACTTTAACTGCTTCTTTGAAAATTGCCCTAAAAAGTTCCAGGTTGGCACAGCATATAAGAGTAACAGGAAACAGGAAATATTTTTTTTATTAGCTTTGTGACAATGTTGTCAGTTGGGTGGTTTAGAAGAAATAAGTGATTGCCTTCTGTTATTTAAACAGTGAAGTTTAAACTACCTGCCATTCAGGAATATCTATCTTTATTCAGGAAATAAATATTTATATAGATGTTGTAACAATCCTTTAGCTGAACTATAAATCTTTATTTGCCATGTTTATTAGGGAGAAAACACCATAAATAACATTAATTGATGTAAATGTTTTGTAGAACTGGCAGAGGTGTATAGTGCAGGACTTCTCTCAAGTGCCCTCTGGTGGTGAACTGAAGTGGCAACAGTAGTATTAGAGGAGAGTTTGTAGTATAAATGGTAAGTAGTTCCCGTCTGAGCAGCCTTAACCTCTACAGTTTCAATACAAATTACATTAAAGAAAACTATTGAATTTTTTTTATGTACATATCATTTTATGTGACTTATTACTTTATAGAAAGTCTTTAGTAAATTTAACAATAGGAAAAAAAATATTTTGTGATTTCCTTTATCAATAAATGCAAAACATGAACAATGATATTTACATTTTGTCAACTGACAATGCTTAGGCAGTGTAACCTGGCAGTTTAATGTCTGTAGGAAAAGACAGATGGTAGCTACATGTAGTGTGTTGGGGCTATACACCTACAGATTGATACTAGAAAATTTGTTATCAGAACTTAAATTGTTTAGTTTATGTATAAACAATAACTCCTAATGTGACCATGGCTAATGTCACAGGTTATAATTTATGTATAGTATTGGTGTGAGTTTTATAGAGACATTCAACATATTCTAAACTGTTTAACAAGAACAAAAAGGTTCCAATGTGAAACAGAAATTAGATGTTAAATGTATATAGATCATCTGTATGATGAAGGACATATTTACATATCAATGTTCTTCATAGAGTTCACTAATAAACTTTTTTGTAGGGAAAATAACAATTAAAAGGACTTAGTTGTTATTAAGATCACAGTGAACTTGTTTGTGATGGAGACCATAGTGAACTTGTTTGTAATGAAGATCTCAGTGAACTTGTTTGTAATGAAGACCATAGTGAACTTGTTTGTAATGTTGCTCATAGTAAACTTGTTTGTAATGTAGCTCATAGTAAACTTGTTTGTAATGAAGATCTCAGTGAACTTGTTTGTAATGTAGCTCATAGTGATCTTGTTTGTAACGAAGATCACAGTGAACTTGTTTGTAATGGAGACCATAGTGAACTTGTTTGTAATGTAGCTCATAGTGAACTTGTTTGTAATGGAGACCATAGTGAACTTGTTTGTAATGTAGATCACAGTGAACTTGTTTGTAATGAAGATCTCAGTAAACTTGTTTGTAATGAAGATCTCAGTGAACGTGTTTGTAATGAAGACCATAGTGAATTTGTTTGTAATGTAGCTCATAGTGATCTTGTTTGTAATGAAGACCATAGTGAATTTGTTTGTAATGAAGATCTCAGTGAACTTGTTTGTAATGGAGACCATAGTGATCTTGTTTGTAATGAAGACCATAGTGAATTTGTTTGTAATGTAGCTCATAGTGATCTTGTTTGTAATGTAGATCACAGTGAACGTGTTTGTGATGGAGACCATAGTGAACTTGTTTGTAATGTAGATCACAGTGAACTTGTATGTAATGGAGACCATAGTGAACTTGTTTGAAATGGAGACCATAGTGAATTTGTTTGTAATGTAGCTCATAGTGAACTTGTTTGTAATGGAGACCATAGTGAACTTGTTTGTAATGTAGACCACAGTGAACTTGTTTGTAATGGAGACCATAGTGAACTTGATTGTAATGGAGATCTCAGTGAACTTGTTTGTAATGGAGACAATAGTGAACTTGTTTGTAATGTAGATCTCAGTAAACTTGTTTGTAATGAAGACCATAGTGAACTTGTTTGTAATGAAGACCACAGTGAACTTGTTTGTAATGGAGACCATAGTGAACTTGTTTGTAATGGAGACAATAGTGTTTGTAATGAAGACCACAGTGAACTTGTTTGTAATGGAGACCATAGTGAACTTGTTTGTAATGGAGACAATAGTAATCTTGTTTGTAACGAAGATCACAGTGAACTTGTTTGTAATGTAGATCTCAGTGAACTTGTTTGTAATGGAGACCATAGTGAACTTGTTTGTAATGTAGACCACAGTGAACCTGTTTGTAATGGAGACCATAGTGAACTTGTTTGTAATGGAGACCACAGTGAACTTGTTTGTAAT